GATTCGATATCACAATCGATAGGGCAAAAAATGCAAAATATTAAAATTGTCTTAAAATTAGGTTCATCACTAAATATAATATCTACCCACATGTAGTCTTTCTGAAACGGGGTTTTATTGCAATGAAAACGCTAAAATAGTCCGAAAAGTGCATTGACTTCAATAGTAAGGGATCGATGGGAGAAAAAAAATGCTCTAACTGTCGACAATCCATTAGTTTGCCTCGACCTTGAATAGTACTTGCATGCGACAGTGAAAGGAAGAAAAATAAAAGAAACGAAAAATATCAGAAGAAAGAAAGAACAAGAAAATAGTTAAGACAGAACGAGAATAACTAGTCAACCATTGAGTACGAGAAGCAAAAGTAAACAAGATACAAATAGCAAAGATAGCGAGAGGAAGAAGTAGCGATCTGTTGGCGGGAGCATACAAATATCAATACAATGTTCCAATTCGTTGACGAGTGTGGTGAACCTCTCATACATTTGTGTCAGTGAAAGCCGAAATCACCGTTATAATAAAGAGTAGGAACTGATTGGATCTTTTCCGATGGAACCTACAGATAGGATTCAATCACCTGGGCTATACATTTTTTCCTTAAAAACATTGGGGTGGGTAGATGTCTAGATGAAGGAACAATCCGCACCCACATCCACAATGTAATTCTTTAATTCATTCTTTCTTCACGATCGCTTTTTTCAAAGAACAAAAATATTCTTGACATAGTTAACCTATTGCGATTTTCTCTTCACTCATATCTTCTAGTTATCATATATCGATATTCTACTAAGTTATTCAATTCTATCTCTCATTTGAATATGTCGTAAACTAATTCTTCGATTTATTATTTATCAGATTGGAATTTCATCACCACAACTTCTTATCATTTCATCATCAACTCTGATTTCGAATTCCATTAAACTATTATTAAAAACGATAATAAAAATTATCAAGTTATCTCATGCCGAATCGTACACATGTTTAAACAAAATGCTGAAAGGAAATGGGTATGGACTTTCTTTCCTAAAAATTACATGATAACGATATATTTACGGTAATTCCTGGTTTTGTATCATGTTTGGTACCAGAGACAGAACCCGAACCCGAAAAATTCGGTTCGATTCGGTTACTGTTGCACACCCACACACCCAGATAATGTGTTCATTACATCAATCACTAAAGGAACCGTTATGATACATGAAAAGTAGACAGATAATTCTGTGATCAAGAAAAGAAAACTATCAAAAACATGTTAACTACGGAAGAATAGAACTAAGATCTAACAAGGCATGTTGTTTAAGTTCACTCAAAGATCGATTAAATGCTAAATATTCATTGTTTAATAAAATTTCTTCGTGTGTTATTGTTCGTCCATCTTCTCTAAACAAGTCATTAATGCCAATCTGATTATGTAAAACTGCTCTAACTTGCAATAATGTCGGTTGACCTTGTATACTTAAGCATCTATGTAGATGCATAAATCCATCTGATTTATATCCTGAATAACAATTTTTAATAATTCGTGCTTCAGGATCCCTTTCTTTAACTGTCATTTCTATTAATTGATTCGAATAGCGAAAACAAAATATTTGAATCAATTTGTGAATAAAATTTTGTTAGAGATTCAAATACATTGTCTCACGTCGCTAATTTAACTTCATCTGATGAAGCAGAAAAAATTATTAATTTAAATTTTCTATTCTCATCCAATTGATAACGAATCCAATAAATAGTGTGTCCTACACTAATTAACATATCTTGATGAGATATTCCAAGTAAACGGCGAAATGTTTCCTGATCAAAGGGTATGAGTGTGGGTGTGTCTTCCCTTCCCTTCACTCACATCCACACCACACACCTACACACCCAAACTAATTATTTCTCTTCTTCTGTTTGAACAGACTACAGCCTATTCTAAATAAAGTTGTCTATGCTTTTATGTTGTACTGTTTCTAATAGAGTTCAAAAAGATCTTCAGATATGTCTATGGTATTCCCCTAGCGAATTTTATTGAAAAACAGATTGGCGTCACTGATGACTCTACTCAGTTGTATTACTCATTGCAGAAAAGTCTTTGCAACAGTTCGCTTGTATCTAAATTGAGGTAAAATACTCTTTTTCAAACTGGTAATAGATTTGAATCCGTACTAATCGCATACTTAACTAAATACAAATTTTGATGATTCTAAATGGAAGATCATTAAAACCATGTAGAATAAGAGAGGATAAAAAGAAATGTTTTTGCTTTAAATAGGTATACAATAGACAGAGCTTTTTGTGGGCTAAAAAATGATGTATTCAATTCTTTTCTGTGTGCGATCAAAGAGTGAGACCAAATTGAAAAAACAAAAATAGAAGCTTGATAGTGAACCCTTGTAGAGTATGATACGGCTGACCAGATATAGTTTTTCAGTTATGCTTTTCCAAAGCTCTTTTTATTGTGTTTTGCAGAAAATTTCACGGACTGTCTTTTGAAAAACAAATTTTCAAGCCGTTTATCTCACTTAGCACTTGAATTCTGCGTACACACTGACTACTCACGTAATAGGCACAAGAATTTATTTGTATCACTATGTAGTCAGGGTACTCTCGCAGGGATGATTCGAGCGGAGAAGTGGTAAATGGTTTACATAGAGTGGTCTGAGCGTGAGTGGAGGATCTCATGCACATTACAGCGCTCACACATACGATTATAGGTCTCAAGGACAGCAACGTTAAAGTAAATTTGAGGCTTCTGAATCTTTCAACACTTTTTGTCATGAAAATCCCAACATCAATGTTTCCTTATATTTCCATGTAACCATAAAACGCATCTTTGACGCGTTTAAACATGTCTGTAATTGAAACAGCTTCCAAGCGCACTGACATGCGTTCACCATATGCATGGTTGAACGTGTTGCAAAGTCGTGTATGCGTTCAGACGCGTTTCACGACTAGAACGCATCACAACTGGTTCATATTAATTTTTAAACGCGTTTTAACGCGAACAGTTTCGTTTTTGCATCGGAATGCGTTTATAACTGGAAATAATATTCACTTAGACGTGTTTCAATGCGATTGCTTTTACTTTTGCATCCGAACGCGTTTCTAGCTGCAAGTGCATATAGTGCTATCAATAATTCAGACTACTTCGTCACAGTATACGTGACTATATCTCGAACAGTAAACTGAACTAAGTGTTTTTCATTTAAAGAAGCATAAAAATTATATAGTCGATTATATAGACGACGTATTCAAGTCTCACTGCGTTTCGAATTCTTAAAGAGGACTCTTCTTGATAATCTGCAATTTAAAATATCAGTGGCTAGCGTTGCATGAAACGGAATATAAACATAAATAGTTGCATACGAGAAATCTCATCATATTTGTGTTCATCATATAAAGTCATGAAGACTTAGTTAATATGTGAAATAGAAATAAATGAGTACACATCAAATTTTGAAATGAACAGAACATTCATTGGAAAACGGTATTACAACAATATCATTTTCTTATATGTCACCACCAGCACTTTTTTCACGAAATCAATTTCGCTCTTGTCTAGCACATACGTTAAACGTAGCACTTTAAATTTCGAAAACAATAAAATTTAAATGTTAAGCAAGAATGTTTACTTCACCTCAAACATGAAGTTCAAAGTTGGTATCCATGTAAACCTATTAGGGATACAAACAGATAAGAAACAGAAGAATTGAAAGAATCTAGATGTAGCCCAGACACAATGGTAGAGTTGCTTTCAAACACAACTTGAAACAGAACTGCGTCTAAATGCGACTAAAAACAACTTTAAATAGCGTCTAAATGTGGTCAGAACACAAAACGCTCATCCAAATTCTATTGTCACCGTGAGTTTAGATGCGTCCATGTGCAACAAATATTTTATCGGGGTTGCTTATGAATGCATTTATCATACATATAATATTTGTATATGCTAACTCTAAGACTTTTCTTCTGTTTCTTCATATAAAAGATCTTACACTAAAGAGTCAAATGTGACAGACAAAACAAAATGCACATAATCGTATACAAAAAACCTTAATTTGAATTTATTTGATTTAATTCCCATTTATTTCTTTAAAAAGTAAATTCTATAAAATTCATCTGCACCTCGATATGATTAAAAATTTCATTCAAAGTAAAAAAAGAAAAAGAAAAAAAATATTTAGTTAATTTGAATTCAAAATTTAAATTAAATTTTTTTTCGTACTTTAAATAGACAAAAAAAGCTGAAATGCCGCATCTAGTACACATTTATTGAATCAGCAATTAATTATCGAAAAAACGGTTTTTCTCGTATTCTGTGATCTCAAAACTAAAATTATATTTTCATGAATTTAATCATACGTAACCGATGTTGTGTGTGCAATTTTAAGTGATACTAATAAATTAAAAAAATTAAAATATTTCCATGTTTATATAATTTAATGAAGTAATTGCTCTTAATGTTTTTTCTCTATAAAAAGTCACGTGATAATAACTGATAAGACTGTACGAGTATTTATTGCTTCGTGGTAAGTTCAATGTCTTTCATACTGTAGGTATCGTGGTCGAATCTCGTTTGTTGCACTCTATTCAATAACTTAATAATGTGTTAAATTGAAATAACAATATCATGTGGCGACGAAAATGGATCGATGCCATGATATAGAGCCCAATTTTTTAAAATTTAACAAATTTTGGATATCCTAAAACGCGTTTAGACGCATCTAACAATAAACAGCGTCAGGATGCGTTTCTCTATCAGAACGCGTTAGAACACCCAAAAATGTTGCATTTTAGAAGCATCCAGACGCGTGAAGTTATATTGCTGACAAACACTTGCGGACGCGTCGAAAGTTAAAAAATGGATACATGGGTATCAGAAATCAAGAAACGACTTTTTCATGACATATTCAATATATTTTTCTCTCAAAAGTATACACTGTCATTTTCTAGTATAAAAACGATTGTAAGTACTATAATAATAAAAGCTGACAAGACACTTTCCTCACATAATCTACTTAAGCATAGAGTTTTTCTTTGGTGGTTACATGTTCCTCATCATCTTCTCTGTCGTATTCTTCAAATCGTCCATGCCCAACAGTAACATTTTTTGTATGATATGTTTGTTTCGTTTCGTGGGCTTCAATATACTCGTTCGCTTGATAAATATTACGTTGTGTTCGAGCTATTTTTGCTCGACGAGACTGAAGTGTAGACGATAGTTGCGACAGTTCCTGATCAACAGCTACTTGTGCTGTTCGCCGATGCTCTGCTTGGGTAGTCAAATTGTCTGCAACTTTTTTTCTTTTGTCATAGGTGTTTTGTTTTTCATTCAGCTGCCGAGTAAGTCGATGAAGATCACGTTCTGTATTACGTAGTTGTGCTTCAGCTTGATCACAAAGACGTTTTGTTTCCTGCTGTAAAGTCGTCTGCCGTTGTATTTGTCGCTCCGTGTCATTCATATTTTTTTCAACATTTTTGATTGCTTGTCTATTAGCAAGCTGTTGATCTTCAAGAGCATGTAATTGGGCTTCGCGCGCTAGCTTTTGTGATTGTTTTGCTGCTAAATCTGATTTTTTTCTGTTGACTTCTGCTTGAAGAGAGCCTTTTGCAAGTTGTTTTTCGTTCAGAGCCACACGTTGTCTTTCAATGTCACGCGTCAGTGTTTTGATCTCTCGTTCTGCCTGTTGTTTCTCACGATCAAATTCGCCCAACTGAGATTCAAGTTTCGAATGTTCGGCCTCAAGTTTTTGCATTGCTTTTTGCACATCTTTCAACTTTTGATCCTGATCGGCTAGATCTCTTTCAAGTTCCGGCACTGACTTGTTCAACATATCAAGATTTGCTTGGACATTTTGTAAGTGATTGTCGATGCGCATGACTTCCTTTTGTTTTTCTCGTACAATTGCCGCTTCTTTGTTCACTTCAGCTGTCTTTGCATCGCGTTCGCGCGTTTTTTGTGCTTCTTGACTTTTTTGCTGATTGAGCTGAGATTGCTTGCTGTTTAGTTGAGTCTCATTTTGTGCCAATGCAGTTTTCGATTTTTGTATTTGTTGATCGAGATTTTGAACACGTTGTGCTAAATTTTTGACTGCTGTATCAAGTTGATTGACTTCCGTCTTCAATGTTTCGCATGTTTTCTTCTGTTTTTCAAGTTGAGACTTTTCATTTTTAACCGATGTCTCCTTCTCTTTGACCTTTTGTTCTGCTTGCTTGCAATCTTCTTTCAATTTTTCGAGTTTATCTTTTGTTGTTTTCACTACTGTCTTCTGTTGATCAAGTTCCCCCTTTTTGGCAGTAACTCGTTGTTTCTGAGCTTGAAGTTCATTTCTTCGCTGTTGAAGTGTTACACGAGCTTGTTGTAGAGTGGTTTGGCATTTTGCGGTATTTGCACGAGCTGCTGTATGTTCACCCACTTTCAGGTTATGATAAGTTGTGCGCTGTACTAATTGAGCTTGGCAAGTAGCAACTTTTGCTTGAGCGGCTGCCACTCGAGCTGCTGCTGCAGCAGCAGCTGCTGGAACGGCTGCAGCAACAGTTGCTGCTGCTATTGCACTAGCCAGCTCTGCTTGAGCAATTGCCAAATTGGTTTGCGCTGTTGTTAATTCAACTTGCGCTTGCTGTTCAGCTGTACGTGCTGATGCTTCTTTACTCTCAGCTTGTCGTAAGGCTGCTTCATCGTTTCTCACCTGTTGTTCTTGCTTTTGAAGTGCTTGCTCTGCTTGTCGTTGTTTATCTTCTTCTGTTTTCAATTCTTGTTCAAGTTTGCTTTGTTTTTCGCGCTCACGTTCAAGCTGTTCAGCGCATTTGTTACGTTGGTCGATCAGGGAGCGAAGATTATCACGCAATGTTTTGAGTTCATTTTCTAGACGAGTCACATTTTGTTGAAGCTTATCCCGTTGTTGTTCGGCTTTTTGTAAGTCGCTTTTTTTTCCATCGAGTTTTGCGTTTGTATCCTGTCTTTTTTTATCGACATCAGAACGTTCTTTTGACTGCGTCTGCAATTGACCTCTGTAATAAATATACGTAGCTATCGAGATATTGCAAGGCAATTAAAACAGCTTACTGTAGTTTATTCTTTTCTCCACTCAGCTGTTGAATTTCTTTAGCTGTCTTCTGTATCTCTTGTAAGAGTGCGCTCAACTCTTGTCGAAGCCGATTAACTACAGCTTGAGATTGATTCATTCGATTTTGAGCAGCTTGTAATTCTGCTTTAATGTGAGCTATATTTTGTTGTGCTTCACGTTTTTCCGCTTCTAACTTCGCTTGCTCTTTTCTTAACTCTTGAATATGATTCTTCTTTAGGTTGATCAAATGAGCTATGCGTTGTTTCATATCTTCAATTTTCTTTTGTTCAGCTTCGTTGGCATCAAGTTTCATTTCATTTTCGCGAATACGTTGTTGAAGCTGTTCTTTTTGTCGTTCAAGTGCCTCGATTCGGTTTTGTAAGTCTTTGATTTCGTCTTCCAGACGATCTATTTCTGTTTCGAGTAATCGTATTTCTTGAGTCAATTGTTCAAGATGATTTTGTAATTCCTGTAGTTGTTGTTCGAGTTGTGTAATTTGTGCTTCAATTCGTTGTATCTCTTGCTCAAGTTGTTGTCGACGTTGTTCGAGTTGTGCACGTTGTTCTTCTAATTCACGTTTTTGATCTTCGAGTTCTTTCAATTGTTCTTGAAGTTGATGAAGACGTTCTGTTTCTTGATAGAGTTTGTCCTGAAGTCGATCGTGTTCCAATTGTTGTTGGCGACGTTGTTGTTCTAAACGAGTTTGTTCATCTCGTAAATCTTCGAGTTCTTGTTCAAGTCTTTCTAGTTCATTATTTAGTTGCTTGATTTGTTCATCCAATCGACGAATTTCTGCTTCGTGGTCTTTTGATGCTTGCTTAAGTTCTTCGATCCGTATTTCGACCGCTCGTAATTCATTCTTGGCGTCTTGTTTTTCTCTCTCCAAACGCTGCAACTCACTATTCACTTTCTGTATTTCAAGATCTGCTTCATCATGATTGTTGAAATTCGAAGCCATATTGAATGAAAACAGTTACGAAAAAAAAATCTAAAATAATTTGCAATATAGTGTTGTATACATATAATACGATGCCGTAAGACCTACGAACTTATCTATTATCGAGAATGTTATGTAGGAAAAGTCAGGTATACAAGAAATGCATTACAGTATATTTTTTCATTCTCTGTCAGAATGGAAACAAGAAGAAAACTATGAGAGAAATGAGACGACTAACGTAAAATCACCTTGCTTGTTGAAAGAAAGAAAAGTGAGAATGAAAATTTGTATGCAAATAAAGTCGAACAGAGTAAGGAATAGAAAGTTTTATAAAGTTGTGGGGCCATAATATTAGTAATGTAAATATATTTATCTCGACAGAGAAATGTGTCGTCAGCAGGGAAAGTTCCAAATAAAATAATACGCAGCTGGAAACGTCCATCGTTTTTTTTCTGATCACTTACGATAACAAAAGAAATTTTACACTGTTAAGTCACTATTTCATATTATCTAAAGGAAACAAAATAATATCTGAATCACAATAGTTGTTTGACGATAAAGCAAAAACAAGAGAACGCAAGAAAAAAAAATAGAATAAGCAAACAATACGCTCTGCCATAGTGAAAAAAAACCCACTGTGATTTTGAAGCGAAGGCCAAACCAACATATAAAAATAAAAGGTGAGCTGCTTCAAAATAGATTTTTTCATTCAATATTAATTGTGTTTCTTTTAGCAGAATGACAACCCATAATCTAACAATTACTCCCGATAGATATTTCAAACCAGGGATCTCTTTGAATGAAGCGAATATAAAAACTTTTCGTGATCTTTATCGAAGATTGTCAAAAGTTAATAAATTTGATGGCCATGACGTTGATAAAACATCACTACTAAAGGCTGCTCAACAACTCGGAATACAAGCTGATCTGGATGACCACCAAGAGATATTGCAAGAATGTGTCAAGTACGAAGATGATGAGCAAACCTTCTTATGTGTCGACATACGTATCCAAGGTTCAGTACAACAATTGTCATTAGGTCTTCATTCCATTCGTCCATCAGCATCAGAATCATCAAAAGAAGATAAAGTACCAACAATTTTGACCGAAGTTAAATGTGTACTTATCATCAAACGTCAAGGAAAAGATATGAACGACTTTCTTCATACGTTTCTCTTGCAAATTGTCAAGAAAGACAGCATATACAAGTATGTATACTAATCTAAATTGTAATTTTTAACTATTGAAAGCTAGAAGTAAAGGTAGACCGACAAAATGGACAGGGCTTTTTTCAAGATTAATAATAGCCATCACATAAAATTTTGACAAATCTTTCTCAAAACTAAACTATTTTATGAAAAGGCTTTTTAACTCTAATTTCAAGACTTTATAGTTTGACGTCAAACTCTTTTCATGTCTTTTTATAATTTTATTCTAGATCTAGCAGTGATGATACCTGCTCGCCATGTGACAACAAACGATTTCTTCTTCATCCTGGATCGCTCCTTGCTTTATTTATTCATGAACAAATGAGCTTATTAGGTACAATTCGTCAGCGGTCAGCAGAACGTTTGCGTTTCGCTGAGCCTCTGAGCATCACCGATGAATTTGGCACTTGGTCTTATGATCATTTTCGAGGTCTCTTCGAAATTGAACTTCGTTCTCATCTTCAAAAATCCTTCCCATCTTGTTGGGTCCTTGCCAACGATGCTCGCATCCACTGTCAATTTGTTTTTAGTGGCACGCGACAAGCTAATGAAATTGCAAGCTCATTCATCTTCGAACGTCCACGTACGGGTTCTCTTGAACTGTTCGTTGAAGATGTCTGTGCCAAAGAGGATAATATGAAAGCTAAACAATGGCTTGAAGCATTGTGTGCCGAGGACATTTTTTCATTTCCTCATCTATCCAATTTAAAACAAACCGAATGGGACAATATAAAAAGATTGTCAATGAATGCAAAGAGAATACTGAAGGCAGCAGTTGACCGAGAACGAGAGAATGCTGCTGATGATCGACGACGTTCCTTTGAAGAAAGTTCACCGGATGGAGAACTTCCACGATCAGCAGGTAATTACATTGATACAGCTGATAAATATATTAGACTTTCATTTTTAGGCAATCTACCTAGAGAATCTCGCTCCGAACTTCTTGCTAATCTTCATTTGATCAAACTCTTTATCTATCACACGCTACGTTTTGAACGAGCACTTCAAAAGTACGGTGCTCTATCCAAACTAGAGCCAGTTTGTATCGATGCATCATTCACTGAGATGCGAGACGAGGGGTTTGCTGATGATGGACTCTTTTCAACAATGGGCGAGTTCTTTCTGCCCCTGACCATATCTGAACAAGAATTAAGACTGACGAGATCTAATGTCAGTAGTCAAGTACGACAAGATCAACTAAACGACCACATCAACGAGGTTCGGCGCTTGGAAAAATTGTTGAATGAAGCAACAATGCATCGATGGGATATTGATGAAAAGATTACTGATCTCAATCGGACAATAGAGCAGGCATATGTGTTATATTTAAACGAGCGATTACAAATGAATACGGCAAATACATCGCGTGAACAAGCGGAAGAGTTGCAGCAAATTGAGCGACAATGGCAATACAATCGAACACAATTCGAAAAAAAGTTGCTTCCATTGAAAAACACATTGGATCAATGGATAAGTCATGCTACAGATTATGAGAAACAGATAGATGAACATAATACCCAGATCAACAATATTCAAACCGAATTGAGTCAACCACAACTCCCCGTTGACAAAGGACTCATTAAGCCTGCGCGTGGATTCATTATGTATGGACCTCCTGGTATGTAATGTTTTTGTTTGAGAACTTTTCTCTTGAGAGAGATCAACTTTTTTTAAAGGTACGGGTAAATCAGAGATCATGAGTAAACTAAGCACGAAATTAGGCATCGCTATGGTTGGACCACCTCTAGCTGCTGGCGAACTCAATCGTCCTTTGGTCGGCGAATCAGAAAGAGTCATCATTGCGCTTGCTTCTCGATGCCATCGTATACCTTATGCTATGTGCTGTTTGTCTATTGATGAAATTGATTCTCTTGCACCGAAACGTGATGAAGATTCAAGTGAAGGAAAAGTAGACAAGATCAGTGTTCTTCTCTCATTAATTGACGGTATCAAAGATGTACCTAATCTTATGATTTTCTGTGCTACGAACCGTCTGCATATGATGGATGAAGCTTTTTTGCGACGTATGTCTGGAAAATTTTTTGTTGGTCGACCATCATCTCAAGCTCGTACGAAAATCTTGGCTCAAATACCAGAATGGGCTCTTGAACCAGATCTCATCGATCGGCTAGCTATCGCTTCAACTAATTTTAGTGGTGCAGCATGCAAGTAAGTTCAATAAATCAAATTTAAAAATATTACAGTATTTAAAAAGCACTTTATTAATTTGTTAAAACTTGTTTTTGATGACTATGATGTTATCTTATTTCTTTCAGAGCATTTACTCGAGCCATTACTGTTCGTTGCATGGCTGCTCAACGAACACAACCAAACTTTCATGTCAACTATAAAGAAGCACTTAAAATTGCCGATCGTACTGCACAACAGTATCAAATCTTCCTTGGTAGTGAAACCTTACCTCGGCTACTTCTGCGCAACCTTATGAGTGGATCAAGGATTCGTGTAAATCACCTATCACGACACATGTATGCAGGACGAATCATTGTCGACCTACATGATGGCAGTGCACGTATTGAAATTATTGAGACGGGTGATCGTATCGCCGTGATTGAACATAAACTTTTCCCCAATGAGACGAGTGTACAGAGTCTACTTGAACGATTAACTGTGTATGGAAAAGACCGAAATGTACAACTTCTTCAACTAATTGATCTCAATCTGCTCGCTTCACAGGGAGCGTATGATGAGAAAAAAGTGTTTGAAACGCTGAAAGAACGCTATGACGAATGCGTAGCCTATACTCGCTCGATGATCATCTACGATCTTGATTCGCTTGTCGGCGTTAATAAATCGGAATCCGATTCATCTATGGGTCGATCCATGAGTTCGTCTGTCGTCAATCAAAGTGTGTATACATATGTTCGCGCAAGATTTCGAGAAGCCGTTGTTGAGCAACAACAAGAAACAGATGATGGAACACAACAAATGGTAGAAAAATGGGCAGTTGCTGTTATACGAGAACCTTTTCTCTTGAGACAATTTTCATCCGATGTTCAATTTGCACGAACACGACAAGAAGAAGAAGAGCTTGAGTTGGAAAGACGTAAAGCTGAAGATCTCCTCAAATGTGTTAAATGCAAAGATCTTTACATAGAGAATGAAAACAAAATGGGTAAGAAAATAAGTTTTTATTCTTCGCGTTTATAACTCTACTTCTTCTAGGTAACTGTGCTCATCATGATGGATTTATATATGATAATTCAGCACCTGATCTTGCCATTTATACGCAAAGTGAAGTGGCATATATGTTAACCAAACTTGAATGTGATGCTATCAATTATCCGGACAGACGTGAAGAATTTGAGCGACAAAAAAATAAATTCAAATGGATATGTTGCGATACGACAGTGACAACAGGCTCTGGCGCAGGTGGATGTAAAAAAGGCAAGCATGGTTTCGGTGAGCCAGTTGGTGATCGGCAGCGGCGAGATGGACATCGTCTTGATCAAACAATGATCAAACGGTGGGAAGAAGAGTGTCGACGTAATCAAGAATATAATGAAAAATGGTTACTTTTGTTGGAGAACCGAGGTTGAACTAGGACAACTTTAAGGAGACTGTGTACTTTAGTAGACTGTGTGCCTAATTGTGTATGTAGCTTTAATTGTAGATCTGGGTGTGGATCTTGATGAAGAAATGGCAAAAGATTCACATTCAATGACATCTTTATGTTATATATTATCAGAAAATCTTAGTTTGTTTTCACCGACGTGTACAACGCATTTTGTGTTGTTTTAACGAGCATGTGATAAAAAATAGTTTATTACACTTTTAAAGACTGCGCATCAGTTTCTAAGCAAGAGCATTACCATTGTGAATGCGTTTTATATATGTTACATCACAGACAAATATCATACAACTCAGTATAGATACTATGTTTATTCTTTGCGCTATTATAGTTATAGTTTTGAAAATCAAAGTATAACAAAAATATTTTGGTGTATGCATTTGGTAATTTTGTTGAGTACTCTACAATAGTGTTTCAGGTGTTTTTATTGATAACAATAACATCGATAACGACACACTACATTATAGTATTGAATTTGTTGTTTTTTACAAACGATAAAAATTCCATTGTTGACAGTCAGTAAAGTGCTTCATTCTTCATTCGTTTATTAACATTCGCTGCGTAGACGAATGCATGCATTCAAGTACCTCTTGTAAAAAAAAATTGTCTTTCCGCGAAAAAATGTGAAAAGAAAATGCGTATAAAAGACAGCATTCGTTTTGTATTTAGGAATGATTCATGCAATACAAAGAGTACGTGTAACCTTTTGCTCGAAAATATGAAGCAAATCCATCTTGTTCACGACAGTGTAGCGTAATAAGAAACTGCAAAGAAATAACTTTGTGAATGCAACATCAGAAAATCCAAATGTGAGAATGTATTCGATACTGATTTGAGCACTATGCACATTGAAGGTTATCGATGCACTTCTAAAACCTCTCATTGTTGTTTTAACAATCCACTGTTCATTTTAATCAATGGGTTGTCATTCGCTGCTTTCGATTCTGTTACTGGTGTTTATTGAATTGCACGAACGAAGTTTTGACTTCACCATGATATATAAGGGGTGTGGATCTTCGCTTCATCAAGAAAAACACGCATACATTCATATCCACACCCACAAACAGTTCTTTTAAACGACCTACGGATGCATTATGACATCATTTGAATAATTTTCCTTAAAAAGGACATTCGGTCATAATCACATGAAATATTCTATCAATCCATGAATAATGGGAGAACTATTTGAAGTATCATGTGGGAAAATTCTTGTGCTAATAATCTATTCCTCGTATTTAAGATAAAAGTTGGACATCGATGATTTGTTTTTTCTTCAACAAGATAAATGACATACTTATTAATAGAATGTGATCATGAATCGAATGAAAGTACATCATCATATAACCCACATGAACTAAATAAAAGATCCATCAAATTTCTTTTAAATTACTAATTCGTATTAATTACTCATTTTATACGTCTTTGAAAATATTTGAGAAATAAGAAGAATGGTAATAGATATATGAGGTAAAAGATATTCAAGAGAAAGTAACAAATCCAATAAATTTTATTTTACTTAATAATATAACTAAACTTTATCTCACAAAATAATATTATCACAATTTCTTATTCACAAATAAGTATATTAAGAAAATCATCAACTAATTAGAATATAATTTTTTATTATCCATGTATATACTGCAATGTTAAAAATCTATTATCACACTACGAATCTTTACACAGGATAGGATAAATATTATTTGAGATATTTATTATAATCGCTGTCCAGTTTCGTTTGTGATATTTTCCTTTCTTCAAACAAAAGCGATCTTTACCAATGATTCTTTTAAAACATGTTTATTTGTATTGTGGCTTTCTTTTATTCAAAATTGAACTGTTCTAATATATTTATCACTGTGAAAAACATTCATGCTGTCAACAAAAATGATTTTCTAATGGCTATTTCCAACTAAAACATCACTATTTTTCTATGTAGAAAATCTATTGTTTTGAAAACATGACCTTTACAAATAGCCTAAGCTCTCTTCTATATAAAACAAAAACTTCTTGTCATTATAGACAATCAAGTCTTATAGCTAAAAGCATAGTTTCTGCTGTAGTTTTAGATATGTTCTGATTGTTTTGACGAATAGTGAATGCTCAAATAGAAACATTATATCCATATAAGGAAGTGCACGAGGTTTTCTCACTGGAAGCAAAAGCCACATAAAAGAATCTTTTGCATAACAGATCATCACAGACTAAAACAAGCTCGATGACCTGATCCCCTACTCTTTTCTTTTCAGAAGGATAACTTTTTTATTACTGTTCCCCTTCTCTGAAAGAGGAAAAATTTTTCTTACTATCGTTTTATCACAATTAATCTTTTGAAAAATATCTTTTTTTTGAATATAAGCATCAGTCTTTCAGAACGTAAGTCCCTGAAATTGCGAAATTCGATACGAAGACATTTTGAATGTCGATTATCGATCAATTTTTCAACAAAGTAATGATTAGCTTTTTATACTTTTATCATTTATATATCTCGAATTCTGAAAGCAAAAAAAGAAATTCCACAAAGGTTTTCTTTTTTATAATGATTTTAACATTAAAAACCTAATCATTTCTTTTTTTTTCCTTTAAGGGTATTTCCAGTAAAAAATAAAGAATATATCTAAAATAAAACTCTCCGTACTGATACGAATAAATGAGATTGATTCGTTTATATTATAATCAAACATTCATTGTTGTCTACAACTTGCGATGTTTTGTTCTATTTTCTCTACAAATCTTTGATATGTTGTGCTCTCGTTTTTGTCGGAACAATCACAATAAAAGACATTACCAGTAGTATCCTATAGAATTCTTTTTTGATTAACAAAATAGATGTATTCATTATTTCGACATAATGAAAACCAAAATCCATAGATTATTTATAATATTTAAATTTTACTTTGGATAAATGAAACATTATATAGAAAATCGAAGAAAATTTGTATCAAATAGAAATCTCAACATCGCTAATCATATTTCACTGAGAGCCAGACGATGTAAGACCATCTTTAGCAACAACTTAAAAGCTTTTTTAAGAGGCACATCATCCCTTCAGTGGCGTCGCCACTAGTACTATTCTCGAGATCATGGCGTCACGACATATGAACTTTGAACATGGAATTTGAGAAAGAAAACTAAATCTCGATTGATCGCTATAAAATGCTGCGCATCTCATTAAGTCTTTTTATATTCACATAAATCATTTTTCATTCGAGATCCTACTTGACTAATCAATGATTTTTCATTGGATAGCCACGTTTTTTTATGCATAATATATGGAAACGGTACTTGTCCTACTCTACTAGTTTCACTTCTTATTCGTCAATTTCTATCCTTATTTTGGAGAAATTATCATCTTCGACCTTATCAAGTAATAGTCCAAAAGTTTTTGTTTTTGATAAATGAAATTTTTACCCTTATTACGATGTGATTAATTCCATTTGGACTAAATCTAATGAACCAAATATACTAAGGTAAAAAAAGATAATTTATTTTTTAAAAATAATTAAATGATTTTTTTTCTTCTAAATTGATTAGATTACAAATGGTTTCTTCTTATTTAAAAGATCTCATATAGACTTGTTATTAGTGGTTATCTTCTTAGTATTGATTTTGAAGTATTAATTATGTTCTATAGAATATATTATGGTGTAGTTAGAAGAAATATGGTTGAATTGTGTACTGATCAAATGGTATCGAAAATTGGAGTAAAATATTTAATAAATTGATGAAATTCTAATTGTTTTTATTTAGTATACAAAATAACAAAGAAGCATTAATTGAACAAACATATAAATTATAATGTTTATTTGTTGTTCTTTATAATGAATTAAATAATAATTGTTAGTATATAGAAACATCATGTATGCTATAGAAATTTATTTGATGGAATTCGATGTGGTATTGGCTTGAAAATCATTAATTTTAATGATTGTATAAGATATTAAATAAATACATTATTTTTTTGTTATTTTGTGTGTTATCATTGGACGAGATACATAAGAATACAAATATATAATTTTTTTTTGTTTATCATAAAAAATGATAAAATTTTTTTTTTGCAGATTTTATTTTGAAAATGAATATTAAAGATCAATTAAGTAGTTTGGGATGGTCAATACAAGTGGATTTTTTCGAAAAAAATAAACAACGAATTGATGATATTAAGAAACAATTACTTGATGTGAATATGTTTGTCTTACTTAATTTATAATTTCTTTTCATTTATAGAGTGATATACGACAAACTGGAGAAAAATCTTTACCTGAGACAGTAAAACTTGATCAAGTATGAAAAATAAAGAAAACTTAGACTCTTATGAAATTTCCTATTTATATATATATGTTCAGACAACAAAACCATATATTGTACAATTACATAAAACTCGTAATGTAACAGCACCAAAAGACAATGAAACATCATCGAATAGACCACATCTCTATCGATTAACAATAACGGATGGACATGTTTTTCAAAATGCACTTGTTTTACCATCACTTAAAAATTTTAAGTAAAATAATAAATTTAACTTTTTACTATTAAACAACAAAACTTTTTTTTTTGCTTTTGCGAATTATTAGTTTAGATACACCACCTGGTGTTAAACTTTTATTAAAACCAAAAACAAAAATTTTACATGGATTTTATATACTAAATGATCAAACATGTGAAGTACTTGGTGGAACAGTAAATGAACTGGTTCATAAATGGAAACTAAATAAAGTTTGAATTTTAATAAAAATCTAATCAGAGAAACTAATTCTTGAATTTAGTTAATGGGTAAACATGTTCGAACATTAATTGGTGAAGGAGCACCACCACCTTGGGTTCCATTTGGTACTACACATGCATCAGCAACAACAGGTTATTTTATATTTTTAATCGTTGTTTTTTGTTTTTTTCTTATTATTATTTATTATGAATAGTTGACACTTCGAAACGTTCGATGGATGTAGCTAAAATGCAACAAGGTAATGAAGAAGATCCAGAATTTGTTCGTCAACGTCGTGCTGCTGTTGATACTCTTCTTACTGATCGAGTATCTAAAACACAAAGATTTGCTGAACAAAATGTTATCAATGGTACAAATTTAGCAAAAGGTTTTGAACAAGCAAATCAACGTATGGCAAATGAAAGACCAAAAACAGCTTCAGCGGCTTTGTCTGCATCGTCAGTTTCTAATAAGCCGACAAATATGGCAGCAACAGCTGAAGCAATTAAAGCTAATAGTCGATGTAAGAAGGTGTTTTGAATTTAAATTAAAAATCCACTATCTTGACCATTTTAGTACCAGAATGGGCAAAAAATCAGATTGCAGATGAAGCAATTGAAAATGATAAACGACGAGCACCATCGGATCGTAAACAATTTTCTAAGAATAATTTTGACGATGATGATAATCGATCAAAACGAGGTAGTGGCTTTGGAGGACGTAATCGACGAGGTCGAGGACGTGATGATGATGATGATGGAGGCGAAGAAACACGTCCGAGTAAAGATGTTACTTTATTTGATTTTTTTGGAACAAAATCAAAATGTAAGAATTCGAAATTATGATCGGGAAAGTTTTTAGACAAGATGTTTGTTTACTTTGAACTCATTAGAAGGTATTCCGATGAGTTATGATCAAAATTTTTTCCTCTTTTCGAATATTGGTTTAGAAATTTTATGTCAATATCTGTTCAAGAAAAGTGAAAGACTTTTCGAACGTACTAAAAATTGTCAAAATCGATCATTTTGTAGAGTAAACATTTCTCTACAATATTTGATATTGAACTAAGCTATAGCTTTAAGTCAAATGAGACTATAATGTTGATTTTTAAAAATTGAATTGCCTTGTCGAAAGACAAAGAAAAATCTTCAAATAATGCATTCTGTAGGATAACTTTCGATCCACAAATTGAGATATAAATAAAGACCCTAATTTTAAGTTTTAAATTACAATATTGAAAATATGAAAAGTTTTCGTTCAAACTAATTTTTTTTCTGATTTTTAAATATTATTTCACTACTCTCGAAGAAAAGTTGAGACAAAATTTGTAAATCCATATTCGAAAAGAACACTAAATTTCGATCTTAATTCATCGGAAACACTTTCTAGTGGATCGAAAGTGAACAAACATTTTGTCTAAAAATTATCTGGTCACCTGTATATTTGAAAACTAAGTAAAGAAAAAGAAATTCTCATTTAGCTACAACACAGAAAGTTCCATCGACAACTCAAAAAATTGATTCAAAACCAAGTCAAAATGCTGCTGCTTCTAACCAATCATATGTATCAAGTGCTGTTCAAGTAAATTCTATTTTCTATAAATTTTTAAACAAATATGTTAAACTTTAATTATTATAGAAACAAATATTTGGATATGAAAATGGTGATCAAATATTAGCTCGATATTATGAAGATAACCAAGTGAAAATAAATATTTTATTTAAAAACAAAAAAAGAATCAATGATTTCACTATTTTAGTACTATCCTGCTGTTATTATGAATATTATGCATGATACTCAAAAATGTGCAGTTATGTTTGAAGGTTATGATTCTCAAGAACTTGTTAATTTCGACGATATTGAATCATATGAAGTGTGTATTACCGATTGACTTTATTATGATTATATCTTTTGTTGAATCTAATTTTTCAGGATGGATATTATGAAGATGAGGAAGGTGAATATGAACAAGAACAACAACCACCAACATCATCATCATCATCACAACGAAATAATCCTACTCCTCAATATCAACAAGTATCTCAACGAGATCAATCTAATTATGGTTATTACAATCAACAACGAGATAATCAAAATCGAAATCGACCAAATTCAAGTCGAGGTTATCCACAACAGCAGTATCCTAATAGATATAATAATACTAATTATTACTAACTATTATACCATTGACATTTTTTAAATCTGTTATTATCGATGTTACTGATGCATGGTTTCTTTTTCTTTTATAAGTCGCAGATATAACGGGTTATTAAAGTTAAAAATAAATAGATTTCTGTTTTCCGGAAGTTTAACTCTTTTTTTTTTTGTTTTAACTGATTGAATTAGAAATGAATATGAGCTGTATGAGATAACAAAAGTGCCGATCAAAAAATTGATGACTTACAACAGAAGTTTCTCAAATAACAGATTCAATAACTCGATATTTTCCCTACAACTCTGAAGAGAGAAGACTGATTGAACGTACAATTCTTTGCGCTTCATACTCACTCATTAGCCAGCAAAGTTGGTGTATGAGGCAGGGTTATCATTATGTTGTCGGACGGATGATCCGAAACAAATAGTTGTTAGTAACCTTTTTGGTGTCACTCCATGGCTTGTGATACTAAGTTTGTGGATACGTATGAAACAAAGTCGCCAGTCAGTCATTGCAGCTTGTGAGTCAGGATTATGTGCATCATATAAACTATGAAGTACCCTGAAAAGAGTTCAGACCCTTAGGTTATCACCGAGATAGACCCTAATAACAATTGTTTATTGTGAAAGTTTCAGATCTTTTCGTTGTTCCTATTCTAAGATATAGCAAAGGTATACAACAGTGCATTCGATGTTCTTCTTTCAAGATATAAGCAAATCAAAAGATTTAAAACTTTAAAAAAAAAAAACAATTATTTTCGTTCAGATCTCTTTGTATGCAGAAAATTACACTATATCTACGGCAAGAAGTTTTTTGTAGAGTATTCATAGCCCATTAGGATCTACATGATGCACGTTATCTTGATACAAAAGTCATTAATTAGTTGGGAAACTTTCCTCATTGAAAAAAGATTTATTATACAGACACTAATGATAGTTTTTCAATATTTCAAAAACTCTAATCATTCTATTCCTTTCCATTTCGAGAAAAGAATTGAATGTAATTTTTTACGGCAATACAATTTGATGTTTTGTGCATATAATCCTCATATTTATCTGATTCTGAATAAACATTGCAAATTTTAATACAGTATTTTCTTCAAATATGTTTGATCGACGTTTATACAGATATACTAATGACAAAAAAGGACACTAAACTGATTCGCTTTCATCTGATGAGTATTGTTAATTAGAAAAAAAAAAACAGGAAATTAATTTTCGTCAGCAAGATCGAAATTGAGATAGATGCATAGAAAGATAGTCCGACGCCTGATCTTTCATCAACAACATAACTTCTTATTTGATGCCTCATTTTTTTGTCGGAAGTTTTATATGACTTCCGTGATTTTCTGCTTCCGAAAAAGGTGGACAATGTTTTTCTGGATCGTGCACTTCAGATCTCTCAGTTGAGCTTCATTGCAGTCAATTGCTGTTTCTTTTTATTTGAAACGGCATATGACACTAGCGTTCTCATTTTTCTGAATTAGGTTTTTTTTATTATTACACAAAAAAAGGCATTTCTATAAATAGACAATCATTTTTTGAGACCTTTTCGAGCTATTAAAATAAAAATAAAATCTATATAATCAAGACCCATAGAAAATGTTCAGTTGTCAAATGAACTATTTTTGACCCTTGTTGGTTAAATATCTTCCGAAAGTATTATGAAGTTCAAGATCAATTTTCGAAGGATTCTTCTTAACAATATAAACTATCACGGTCAAAATTCTCAAATACAAAATCTACTCAAGTTTAATAATTTGCTTATTGATAATAAAAGTCAAACTTGACTAAATGAATATTTCTGTGTGAAGCTATTAAACATTACCAGACAATGAAGAACAACAAAAATAAATAATAATTAATTCTTTCCTTTAACTTGTCATTATGAAAAATATCTGTACCATAGTCGGCGTTGTAATATTGATATAATGACGCGATTTTTAGAATGCTATGAGCCAGACCAACTGTAAAAGAGCAGATATTTTATAATAAAATGTTTAAATATTAGAAACTTGATATTACAATAAATTATCAAAGATGGAATCGAATAGTTTTCAAACCGAACACAATCAAAAATTTTTCCGTACGAATGTTTTTTTTTTTATAAAACTAGATCGATTCCGTTCGGTTAACGTGAAGTATAAATCAATGCTACCTCTGTAAACTAAATAAATTGTTTTGAAAATATTACAAAAATATGATCCGTATGTAGACCAACCCGCCAAGCTCACTTACGGAACCATCTTGTCCATATCTGTTGGTATGATATTAATAGTTTCAATTAATATTTTCTTTACAAATACTAAATAATGAAAAAAAAAAACAAACACATTTATTCTTTGGTCATATTTAATCGAAAATATTCTGGTGGTGTCGGGATGGTTTTCAATAATGGTGCTAAAAGTAAGGTAAATACTGTTAATATTGTTGTTAATAGAAGATATGTATAAAAAAGGCAACGATCAATAACTAAGGCTACATTTTGCCAATCACGTATGATAGTATCTTCTTCACGTGTTTCACCTGGACGAAGAATAAGACGATTAAGTTCATAAAGAAGACGTTTACATTCTTGTAACGACTGTCGTGTTGAATTTATATTTGATGTTGTTGATGTTGAAAGTATATTTTGTGTTTCTGAATTCATCGGTGCTGTATGATTTTCAGTCATTGTTGTTGAATGTAATACATGTGACGGTGATGATAATAATGGTTGAGAATTTGTTGAAAGATCATTTTCATTAAGAAAAACAGCATTATAAATTGTTGTTGAACGTCGTAATGCTGATGTTGATGCACACTGAGTATTTCTTTTATCTTTTGTTGTTATTGTACGATGTAATTTTACATGTAAACATGGTGCAATATGAGAAAAAAGTATTCGACGTAATCGACGTGGTACTGGTTTCAAAGCTGAACCATATAAATGAACATTAAGTAAAACAACAGCTAATAATACTGATAGACTAGTTAAACCCATTACAAATGTAAAATAAATGCCTTAAAACAAGAAAAGTTACATCACAAAAACAAGTTTCATTTTCAAATATTTAATTAATTTACCAATCAAAGGAACAAATTCACTTGTAGCTGGCATTGATTCAGCAATTACTAACATGAATACGGAAAATGACAGAAGTACAGTTAAACCTAATGAAACTTTTTCACCAGATTCTGTTGGTAAATAAAATGTTAAACATGTTAATCCAGATAACATTATGCATGGAATTATAACATTAAATGTATAATATAATGTTCGACGACGTATATGAAAATAAAATTTTAAATCATGATATGCTTCTGCACAACATGGATATGTTAACGTTGAAAGAATTGTCCATGATGCTAATAATTTCCATTCACCTTTTATTTAAACAAAAAGACACAGAAAAAAAACTTAATAATAAAACGAAATATAAAATCATTACCGTTATCAATATAATTATTCATATCAACATTTTCTGATCGATTTGTTAATATAAGTTGTGTAGAATCGTATGTCCATGAACCAAATTTTAAAAAACATAATTGATCATCAAAAGGAAACCTTTTTATTTAGAAAATAAAAGAAAAAATTCATTTTAGATATTCTTTTTTGTTTTTGTTATTCAAAATTAAAATTTACCAAGTAATATCTATTTTACAAGTCGATCGAAATTTGACAATAGGCGGCCAAAAAACAGTACCATTAAAATCAATCATTGCTAATGATTGCATATATCCTTGTGTATAATCATCCGCCGAATTGTATAGTACAATATCAGGTAACCAAATAAGACGACAAGGTATACGTATTCTTTTTAAACCACCAAAATCTTTTGGATCCCATTTTAAATATGCATCGTTCCATTCCTTTTATTTATTTATTTTATGTAAAAAGAAAATTAAAGAAATATACATTCTAAGATCAATAGCTCAATAGAACATTTTTATTGTAGATATTCGAAAAGTTATATATTCTTGAAAGATTCATATTGCAATATTCTTAACTGACGAATGAACCCCCTTCCAATCATGAGAAGAAACCATGTATTATTGTTGAATTTTTTTTGACATTATAATGACCATGGGATCTGTCTCTATCCATACGCAAACTAAAATTCTTTTGCTCAGTTTTCATTGTAATATCGTGCAATAAACAGAAAATTTAATAAAATGATCATAACTCAAGAAGATAGTGCTAATGGTACAAATCGTTTTAGGACTTTATCTCCACCATGAATCATTCGACTTCAAATGGAAATGATCGATTGAAAGAATTCTCTAGTAAGATAAATTAGTTTTTCTTTTTCTGAATTACTCTAGACTATTGAAAAACATTTCTTTTTATAGTCACACCAGATGTTCTTCTCTTTGAAAAGTCTAGTAAATTGATATTGCAAAAAAACTAATTAAACATCTGTTCTATCAATTAGATGTTATTAGTTTTTCCTTTTTTCATATTTAGATGAATACTATTTTGTTCAGAAGAAATATAATTTGAAAACTAAAAATCGATCAATATATGTTTCAATTCTATCGATTAGTCAAAAATAAAATCTTGTAAATCATACGATCATCCAACAATAGTAGTGGTCATATCTCTTCTGCTGGCTACCTGAACTACATAATAATATGGACTCAAACATGGTCGTTCGATTTCTTTTTTTTAAGTGATCGTAAACTACAGTAACTGTTGATTGTATTTTTGAGTGATGTCATATTCGACAACATGTCTACATCAGCATATAACTCCATATAAAATAACTATTTGAATATAGATTTGACTTCTATTTGGTGATAGTGTAATTTACAAGAGCTTCTTTCGAAGAAATTCTAGAATGATAGACTTGATTTTATGAATAACTTCTTAATATTAGAGATTTTTAACATTGTCAAGAATATTCGTTTTTTATTATAATTCTACCTGATCAAGCCAAATATTAGTTGTCATTATTTGATTTCGTTCATCCTATACATATATAATAATAAGCGTTTCTTTTCTATTTCTTGCATTACTTACAATATCTAAAATTTGTGTCAGTGTAATACCAAGTTTGACAATAACAGCTTCAGATGATTTTTTCAATGGTCTTACGGCTTTTTCATAGCCTGTCATTATTATATAAAAAAGACGTTGTTCATCAGACATATGAGAAGTAATATTTATTGCACCTTCATATAATAATGATGAAGATGGTGATGGAGTTGGAGCTATTGCAGTGAATGAATAACATTTTTGATATTGTGTAAATAAATATATCAAACTAGTAAGTATTAGATGTAAATTAGATACATTATAATATCCATTAGAAGGCATATTTATTAAATATATGAAATCGGATAATTAATAAGAAATTATTAAAATCAATTTTTGTCACTTAACAACTCGAACAGATTATTGGTATGTAACGATGATGAAGATGATATAGAAAAAACGAAATATGATATTGAGCGAGAAACAAAATCGACAAAATTATATCAATAAATAAAGCCAATTGATGTTTTACTATGGTTTGCAGTAATAACAATGATGTGGCATATGGGATATAAACGACAACAACTATCTAAAAATCGGATATCCGCTGTTTTTTATTCTTTGAATAAAGGTTTAGGTAAAAAAACAATGTAAATTTGACATGTTAATCGACATAAGATTTTATTGACTGTAAAATCCCCTTTGGGATAAAAAGACAAGATTAAGATGTCAAAGTGGCTTATGTTTAATGCAGTGACGGAAGTACTTTATTGCGCACTTGTCAAAGAAAAAAAAAAAACAATCAGAAAACGAAGAATTTTTTTATCATGTTACAAGAAATTATTCCTTTTCAGTAAATAAAAATGCTTTTTACAATATTACTATATATATTTTTTTTAACACCATAAAAAATAACATTTTCTTTTTTACTATATTGTTTATACAACTGAATAATTTAATATAAAAACCAGCACATCATTGATAATGATGAACTCTGTCAATCAAAGCAAAAACAAAAACCTACTTGATTAGTTTGATTTAAGTTGAAGAAAATATTAGAATCCATGTAATCATATATAGAATAACAAAAAAAACATGATATTAATAATCAATATTCTAACAAAAGAATAATCCTAAGAACATTATTTTGACTAGTTAGTTAGCTACTCGATCAAGTTCTATTTTGTTCAATCAATTATCTATAATAGAACATAAATTAAAAATATAGTCTCTTTACAATATGTTAGTTTATAGCTATTTTATAGTTATACGAGTATTGTATTTTCAAGCTGTCAAAAACAAAAGATCTTTCATTGAGAAAAGACATATCAATCTAAATGAGATAAAAAAAAAGAGACGTTTGATTGATTAACATAATTAGTATGTGCGTCCGACTTCTATATATACATGATCATAAATGTTGTTTACACGATTTACCTGACTATTGATTACATAAAAATATATATTTCATTTAGCACTTTTTTTTTTTTTTATTTCTGTGAAGACTTACCTTCCGTTGATTATTTGAAAGAAGAGAAAATAAGTAATGTGAGTGAAGATCTTCGCTTTAACAATACTCATACAAACGCTCATATTACACATTTTTCTTCTTCAAAATAAACTATTGAACAAATCATATGCAAGAAAAATATGAAATTAGTATTGCTATGTAATATTCTCTAAAGTAATGTTTTGTTTTGTGATCGAAATTTTGTTTGAATGAATAAAATGAAATATACTTTGATTCGAGAAGATTTTCTATCGAATAATTTTGTTTATCTTTTTAATATTAATTCCTTTCCATCTGTATAATAAATTAATGAAATTCATTGTATAAAGTCAAATCTAATATTTCATAAAACATAACATAGACAAAATAATAGATCATGAATTTATGTAATGATTTCTATATGGTTGTTTATTATTTTTCATTAATTAAATGCATCGTCGACTTATTGATTGATCCGTTTTGTTGATTTCGCTCGCTGTTTTTTTTTTTGGTTGTTGTCTATTGTCCCATATTCTGGTAATTAAGTAAGTCCCGAACGACAGAATACTTAAGACTTATACAAATGTTGAATGAGTAATATCATAATTTCTGCAAGATGAAGAATTTTAATATGCAGTTTTTAGATTATTAAGTATTTTCACTCGTCTAAAAGACATATTTGTATATATGTATATGATAGACTCACGCGACATAAAAGACTATTATTGCTGAACGATCAAAAAAACTAATGAGAAGATTTATGAAAGTAATATTCATCATATATTTCAAAGCTATAGACACCCGACGACAATGTGTTGATTTTTTATTTCTCGTCGTTTCAAAAAAAGAGAGATTTTAATATTAATGTAAATAAGTATCGATCTCGCATTGACATAAGAATTTGCTTTGGAATTCAACATAAAATCTCGTATGCTTAGTCAATTTATATTATTTCATTCACTTGCTTTCTTTTGTCTTTGAATGACATGAAGTTAACCAAATAAGACAAAACTATATGTTCAAGTTTCATAACAAAGTACAATCAATATATCTATATATTGAAGACATTGTAAAAGCACTTGTCGTATCTTATTTTCAAAAAAAAAATCATGTATAAAAAAAAAAAAGTGAACATATACTATTTTTGACTCTGTTGTGTTAAAGCCAATTGGTATGAACGTTTTTTATTCAAGGACGAAAATAGATTGACGAGAGAGTGAGAATGATCGATCGTGCCACTCACACGCGCACATACACAGATTTCACAGCACCAGCAACATACACACAAAGAAGAAGAAGAAGAAGAAAAAAAGAATAGAAAAAGACTGATAACAGAATAATAGACAAAGTTTTTAGTCGATCAAAGGGAGATTCAAAAGAAACAAAAAAAAAAAGAACCACCGGCGGGTTTTACATGAGTAGAGAAAAGAATAAAATAAACCGTACAAGAATTACCTACCGTTATGACAAATTTAAAGATGTCTGTTTAACAGAAAAAGAAAAGAAGATAAAGAAGTATCTCACCACTCAGATACACATACACACACACACACGCGCATACGCATACAATGAAATATACGTTTATATATTTTTCTCTCTCTCTCTCTCTCTCTCCCTTTTGTTTATGTTTAATTAGTTTTTAATTTTCTTATTTCTTTAATTGCCCAATTAGCCAATGTTTTTGTTTTCATTATTTTTGATCGTTTACCTTCTGCTAATAATTTTTCAAATGGTTCACGTTCAACAAATTGTAACATAACTTGACCATATGATGTTACAAGATCACCAATTAAACCAATAGCAGCACCGATTATTGAATCGGATTTATTTGGATCACGTGCGATAGTTTCAAGAAATTGCACTATAAATGGTAATTGAGCTGTAACTAATTGTAATTCAGCAAGTGCTACTGTATTTGTTGTTGCAGAATTACGTAGACCTTGAATTATACCAGTATATGCTGATAAACAACCTTCACGTAATTCATTTAAATAATCAATCATATCATAATCATTTTTAGATACTTGTGCACGACATGCTTGATTAAGTGTATTTAATACATGTTCAAGATATTTTTTAAAATGTCCACCAATAGCTAAAGCTATATCACCAAATGTACTTAAAATTTGTGGTTTTACAGAACGATGTAATTTATCATTCTAAAATATAAAACAAAAACAAAAAAATCTAACATGTGCTTTCATATTATATCTTTTCAGAAGATTTCTAGGAAACAGCTTATAGAGTTCGGATTGATTTTTGAAAACTTAAGACTTATTTCTCTTCATCTGAAGAATTATGCATATATTTGTCGATAAAGAAACATAATATAGGTTTCTATTGTCGGTTTCAAAATATAGAGTGCTCCATTGTTTTTTGAATAATTCAAAAAAAAAAAAAACCAAACGGATAGAGATCTGTGGTTTTCACCAGTCGAAAGAGAAGACAAGGAAACGTCTTTTTCTTCAATATTGTATAAGACGAAATCATTTTACAATCAGTCATTTCGATGAAATTTTAGTCTTGACATGTGATCTAGATAAACGAACTTCAGATCTATAGTTCAACATTAAATTTTGTATGATTATCTTTCTGCATCCTAATGTAGAACAAATAACACCATTTTTTACATACACGAAAACTATAGATTTCTTTTATGTTTTTTAAGCGAACTGTCTTACTTTCTATCAAAATTTCATCTAAATGACAGATCATTTTTATACATTTTCTCGATGTTTTACAGATATAACTGATTTTAAAATGATACGACCCCTTGTTTCCTCTTCCAACAAGTGAAAACTAAAGGTCTCTAGATGTGTTTGTGTTCTTGAGTTATTCAAGAAACAATGGAGCACACTATATTTTGAAACGGACAATCCAATGAAGTATATTGAGATAATTATTACTTAAAAATGAAGATGAAGCATAAATATATTACATGGCAATCAAATAACTTATCTATCTCCATTTGATTGTCTATGTACGAGATACATCATGACCTTTTTATTTTATTATATTATTCAACAACATAATAAAGATAGAAGAATAAAAAAATGAATTTTTTTTTAATGCAACTCTTGTATGATAGACTTCTTCTCACGAGTAACTTATAGAAAATACGATATTTTATTTTATATGAAACATCTCCTTTGAGTGTGTAAGGAAAGAAAAGATTCAGACCCACACAGTAGAGCCCATCAAGTTAGTTTCTAATCTGATGAACTCAATCCTACACATTTCTCATCTAATAAATATGTAGGACGCACTAGTCACCGAATATCAAAAACAACGACTGTAAAAATATATTTCTCAGATGCGCAAGAATTGATTATCTCTAAAAAAAGAATTGTAAACCATATTCTTCTAAGAAAGATTATTTCAACTAATATTAACTTACAGCAAGACAAGCAAATAAATGTGTCATTATTTGATCACAATATGGCGCTAATTTATCAAGTAATGAACGACTTAAATCACCAACAACACCAACAGCTGCTGCACATATTTGATATTCCGAATGATTATTTAATGCTTCATATATAAATGGAAGAACATGATCAATATATTTGATAAAATTCATTCCCAATACTAAAAAAAAAAAAATAATCAATTAATATAGTATTAAGAAAAACAAAAATAATTCATAAACACTAACCTTCAACAAGAGTCCCTATAGCAACAAGTGCATCTTCTTGAACAGCACTTGTTTTACCACCACTTGTTTTAAGCATTTGTAATAAAGCTTGCATTATTGGATCAGATATTAATGGTGCATCATTAGGATGCATTTTTCTTAGTACACTCTAAAGTTTCATAGATAAATATAAATAAAAATACATTGATTAAGAACAATAAATCAATATAATGGAATTTATCTCAGACAGGTCGAAAAATTTTCTTTCTTTTTTTTTTTGTATAAAAACTTACTTGAAGTGTTGCACAAAGTAATGATTGAAGATCACTTATTTGTACTCTATCATTTGGATTTGATGCATGACTTTCAACAGATATAACACGATTAAGACGATCAAGTACAGTTACTGTTGTTTTTTGAACAGTAACATAACAATCCTTGAATACAAAACAAATTATTTGAAAAAAAAAAAAAAATTTTTTTTTTCTTCTAAATTATACTTTTGGACTATGTCGAATCATTTCCATTAATGCTTCATAAGCTGCATTACGTAAATTTGATTGATTACCATCAGGTCTAAACAAAAAGTCTTCATAAAATCAATCAAATACTTCATTATTTTCTTTTTTTTGTTACCTATCCGTTGTTTCAATAAGTTTTTTAACAATTTCATCAAAAAATGGTGATAATAAATATGTACTTGGTGTTTCATCATCTTCTGAACTTTCTGCATGATCATATGCTGCTCGTGCTAAACTTGAAAATGACTAAATATAAATATAAAATAGTACAAGAAAATAAAAAAAAAAAAATTTTTTTTTTTTTTCTTAAATATACCCAACAAATATTTGTTGCAACACGTGATACATCATTTAAACCATTTACAAGTGTACTTCCAATAGCTCGAAGTAATTCTTCATTCATAACAGCTTGGGAAACAAATTCAAATATACGTCCAATTGTCCATGCTGTTGTATCACGTACAGCAACATTTGAATCACGAAATAATTCAAGTAAAAATGGTATAGCTTGTTCAGCTATTGGTTTAATTGTTGCAACATCAGGTCCTTCTAACATTGAACCAAATGCCATAACAGCTGCTTCTCGATGTCTCCAATCAGTATGTTTTATATTAGAACTAACAAATGGAAATACATATTGAACTATGGCATTTTCAGCACAATTAGCTAATAACATAAGACAAACACCAGCTGATTTACATGGATTCCAATCATCATCATCATCTGCTTCTTCTTGCATAGTTAATCTTTGAAGTAAAACTGGTACTAAATATGGTAAAGCACCACGTGCGTAATAACGACTTGTTCGTTCAGGTTGACGATTTTGTTCTTGTGCCTTAAAAAACAAAAACAAAAGAAACATAAAATAATAATTTTTTTAAGAGAAATAAAACAAAATTTTAAATTTACTTCTTGTTGCAGTAATTGTAATTCATATTCTTCATCACATACATTTGACCAAAATTCAATACCTTGTAAAGCTATTTCATCATGAGAAGATTTCATTGCATCCATTGTAATCTTAAAAATAATATAATATAAACGATGGTTTATATAATGAAATTTTTCATCATTTAATACGTTTTATTAATGCAATTCTTGTGAAATTAAAATCAAATGATGTATAATGTATTAGTCTTCTTATAAAAATTTTCTTTTTCGAATTTAACTCTTTCAGATTATACTAACATTTGACAGATGTTAAAGCAATATTGAACATAAAATGATGTTCTCGTAAGTTTAAGAAATTACATATCCGTCTGATCAATGAAAAAATGTTTATTGTAATGGGGCGCTCAAATTTTTATCCCTATACTTCAACATTTCTTTTAGATTATATTTCATAAAACCTTTAGAATTTACAATAAAACAAGATACTTTAAAACACATCTGTAATGATACTCAAATCAGGTGAAATATTATCACATAAGAATTATATTAAACTTATCCTTTGGCATAGTCAATCTACAGGTAAATAATAAGCAATAGGATAAATTAAAAAAACCAAACCTTATTCTTTATTTAATGAAATAACGAAAGAAATTCATTTGCAAACAGGGACGGCGCGAAGAGGTTGGAGCAGGAGGGGGGGTCAGTCCTAAGATCGGAGAAAGCCAAAAAGTGTTCGCTAAACTGAAATTTTCTCCGAATCAAAATTTTGTAATATATTTCTCCAAAATCGGAGAAAATCGTCTACTAATTTTCTCCAAAATTGGATTTTTCTGGATTCATAAAAATATATTCAACACTATTGTATAAATTCGCAGAAAATTCAAGTTTGGAGAACATTTTTGGGCGATTTTCCCTAATTTTTGAGACATATTATATAAATTTCTCCAAAATCGGAAAAAATCCAAATTTGGAGGAAATTATCGAGTATATTTCTCCAAAATCGGAGTAAATTGCTTTGCAAATTCCCCAAAATCGGAGAAAATGTCGTAGTAAATTCCCCAAAATCGGAGAAAGTACCAGTCAACATTTTCTGGAGCAGGAGGGGGGTGACCCCCCTACCCCCCCTCCTCCCGGTCGCGCCGTCCCTGATGTGACTATTTGAAGAGACTACCCACACACACACTCTAAAGTTTAATAGGAACCAATTCTTTATCATGGAATATTATTCTAAAATTCGAAAGAAAACCTATGGATCTCTTTGTTTTTTGTCTTTAGTTTAATCCTCTTATTGATCGTTTACAAATTCGTCTTGATATTGGTCGAACAGCCAATGAAGGTTTTCTTCAAATATATAATTGGACACGTCGTGATTGGTCATATGTATGTTATGATACATTTCGTCAATTATTTTCTTATCGTTTAATATGTCATCAACTTGGTTTACCATGGAAAAATATTCTTGCACATTCCGATTCATTTTATTTATATGATTATCAAAAATTACCTATATGGCAAGAAAAAATTGATTGTTTAGGTAATGAACCATCAATATCATCATGTTCATTTACAATTGAAAATAATAATATATGTTCAAAATTATTTTATATATCATGTTATGATGATAATCTTCTTTATACACTTAATTCAAATATTCAACCAGAATTTTCAAATAATCTTGGTGGATATCCATTACCACATTCATCACCGTTCGTATTTGATTTGTTCTATTTCCAAAAAAAAAGAAAAAGTCGATTTGTTTTTTTTTTTTTTAATTCTAGAACTTATGAAAGTCCACAATCTTGGAATGGTATTCATTTTGCAAATAGTGAATATGAAGAAGATTTATCATCATTAGATTATACAAGACATGATCAATCATTACTTCGTTATGTTTTAATATCGGAAACAAATGATTATCAACCAGCTATACAAACAATTTATCGTACACCAGCTATTGAACGTATACATATTGAACATAGTCGTCAAATTGGTTTTGAATTTCTTTTACCAAAACAATCAATTTTATTTGGTTATAGTCGTATAACAAATTCATTAGATTTAGCTATTAATGGTCTTGTTTATTATGGACAATCAACACATGAAAAATCAACATTTGATTTATTATATGAACAAAATATTAATGGAAAACCATTTAGTTTACTTAATTTATGTAATGCACATAGAATAATTAATGTTAAATATCGTCTTATAACATATTATAAATATGAATATGATTATCGAACATGTTCTAAATTATTTTGTTCGAATAATCCATATAAAATTGGAATAAGATTTTTTCAAGTAAGAAAAATAAACGATGTATCGGCATTGAATACACTTGTACTAAGTTTATAAGAGAGAAACAGCTGACTCACAGGATTCAATAGAGTTCATAGAAATTCAAGAAAATAACTCACGAGGGAAGGTCCCCAACTGATCAATGACTTTTGCGTTGAGACTATGCGCATTATGTAGGGGAAGAAGAGTTATGAACACTAAAAAAAGTTCGGGCTGCTAGCTTATTGCTATGGAGATACTGCACTTTTACGGTATGTTTATAAATGAAAGCTGTGGTCCCCCTCAGGAACACCGAAAAAATTATTTTCGAATTTCGAATTTCGACTTGAAACTTTACATATAAACAGACCTTACCGCGAATAATATTTTGTAAAAGTTTCAGATCTTTTTGTTGTTGTTATCGGTAGATACAACTATGATAATGTCTTTCAGATAAACCAAAAGATTTGATGTTGTCCTTTCAGGATAAGAACAAATAGAAAGACCTGAAAGTTTCATAAAATACTATTCTCGGTAAGGTCTGTTTATATATAAAGTTTCAAGTCGAAATTCAAAAATCAATTTTTCCGGTGTTCCCGAGGGGGACCACAGCTTTCATTTAAAAACATACCGTAAAAGTGCAGTATCTCCGTAGCAATAAGCTAGCCGCCCGAACTTTTTTCAGGGTATCCATAACTCTTTTGTAC